TTGGGGGGGGGGGGGGGGGAAGAGTCCAACTTACAGCTATAGCACTGCTGAACAAGTGGGTTTCTACACCTGCTGGCAATTAACATACTAGTAAGCATTAGTCATTGGATGTAGCTGTGTGGGCAGAAAAAGCACTAGGCTTTTTATGAGGGGGGGCTGTCTCCATCCTGATTGCTACACTCTGTTCTCAGTTGGGCAACACACAGGCCTGATTTTGTAGGTCTTCTGTAATTGAAGTAGTGGTATCAGAATCAGTTAAACTATTTTTACAAAGACGAGTTTGCAGGATCAGGCCTCTTGCTGACATTGTTTGTGTTTTCTCCTCTTTCTGAGAAAGTTAACATGTCGGCTGGAAAAAATTATCTCCAAGGCACCTGAGAAGGCTGCTTCAGAAACACCCTCATGCTTAAAAAAAAAAAAAGACAGTTGTGTGACAGGTGAATTTGTGCTAAACTAAAAGGCACAAGAATTGCAAAGTGCCATGATATTTCCTTGGAGAAGACCAGGACAAGGTAGGGATTCAATTTTTTTATGGGAATTATAAAATGTAGAGGACCCCAGCATGATGTCTCCAGGCCTGGGAAGCACTAAACTTAGTACAGAAGTGTAGAAAAGGAGTGAATCTGGGTAGCTCTACATAACTTTAATAAAGGTTTTTGGAACTCTGCTTAGTGATCTTGGAAATGTGTGTGTTGCATCTAGATGTTACATTCCTCACTTTCAGGTGATATCAACAGAAATATGATCTGTTGGCATCCCTGAAACTTGCATTTCTCATCCTCCATATACTTAGAAAGATAGCATCATCTCTCTTGTATATAAAATACTTAAGGGTTTCACAATCACATAGGCAAACAGCTGCATTTCACTGGTGTTCTTTGTTTGCTGGGGCGGAGGGCAATAATCAGTGCAAAGCACACTAGACAGCAACCTGTGTGAATGCCAGTTTTGTTTTGTCCCAAACTACCAGGACAAACTTCATTCTTACAGAAACTGCTGGGGGATCTGTAATATCCAGAAACTGATAGGCTTATGCATTTTATTGCATGTATTTCTAGCTCTTTCCACAGTCTGTCATTCTCTGCCCCTCTTTCTCTAATAGTTAAAAAGTGTTTTAATATATGATTGTTTCCTTTTAAATAAAAGCAGTAAATTTAATATAAAATGTATTTTTAAATGGAGAAACTGCATGTGTGATGGTGGAATCACTGCCCAATAGACATTGGAGAATAGAAAAACTCAGGCATTGCCACCTCATTAGTCAGGTGCCTTCTGATGCAGGTTGTGTGTTCCTGTTTTGGCACTATCTCTTTCAGGCCCAGGTATTCATTATGGATGGTGCCAGATAAAACCTCTGCAGTTGATCTAGTCATTAGATCCAAAAAAAAGCCCTTGGGTGCCTAAAGTACCCTAGGTGGATTTAGACCCCTAAAGCCAAGTGAGCCACCCTTAAAATCTACTTAGTTGCCTGAGGCTGCCTATACATGTGCTGGTTTACATTCTAATTGGAATGCTCCAGTGTGGCCTCACTATCACATATATAAGCCCCCACACATTTTTAAATGTCTGGGAGGGGACTTTATCTAGATAAAGCATCCCACAGCCACTTTCAAATCCACAAGGGCTTAGTACACAGGATGGTGAAGCATTTAATTAGAGTGGCTTTCCAGGACCCGCTCCAATTAAAACATGCCCCCCCAGCATGTGTATAGGCAGTCTGAGTGTCTGAAGGCACTGAAGTAAGTGTTCTGGCAAAAACATTAGGCTCCCAAAGTTTAGCTACTGTGCATGACCAGAGGTGCTGCCATCATGCCAGTGCTGAGCATTCCCCTGCCAATTTCTCATTGGAAACCGTTTGAGATTCTCAGACATGATGTCCCTATGCTCAAATCACTTGAGGGACTTGATCTGGTAACTGTGCTCACAGCATGCCTCCCTAGCTGACTACTTTGAGTTTACTTACCACAAAGCATAGGAGACAAAGCAGTTTTAATTAAAACGTGATTCCCTTTTGCATGATAGATTAGTGGATCAATCACTCCACCAAGAAGTGGGAGATGTGGGTTCTAGGCTTTCCTTAGCCTCAGCTATATTTTCTTACATCTAACCACATCTTTTCCCCAAAACCAGCAGGGAGAAATGAGGGTGCGTGTTGTATGCAAGAAAAACACTTCCCCATGGGTCTGGAAATGTGACGGATGAGGGGGTGCAGTGGCAGTGTTAACTGCTGCAATTCTGGGAGCCACAACAATTACCTGTCACTGTGTCCTCCCCTCCCACTCACTGTCTGTTGCCAAATGTCTAGACCCATGTGGAAGCCCCCAAAATTAAGCTGATGTGCAGGGCTGGCCCATGTCCAGACCTGGCATATCAGATCCAACCCAACAGCACATGGCCTCAGACCCAGTGTACTGAGTCTGAGACAGTGGGCTGGCTCCAGAGCAGTGTACCAGGTCACACCTGGCATGCAGCCCCAAAATCAGCTCTGATGTAGTGGGGTCAGAACTGGCTGTGTGGCTCCCAGTCCCCAAGCCATCAGCCCTGGTGCTTAGTCCCCCAGCTCCCCAGTCCTGGTGCACAGTTCCCTAGCTCCAGTGCATACCCCAGCCCCTGAGCCCTGGTGTGCAAGCCCCACAGCCTCCCAGTCCTGGCATGCAGCCCCCCCAGCCCCAGTGTATGGACCCGTAGCTCCAGAGACCACAGCTATCAGGCACTTACCTTTTTTCCTTCTTGGGGGTCTTCTCAAAATGGGGTGTGTGTCATATTTGGGGAGAAAATATGGTATATCTTCAGCCCTCCAGGAGAGTTTCCCAGAGACTAGAATGGGGTGCCTATATTTTTCATCTCCCCTGTTGAAGCTCAGCCTCTGTGCGCTGAAGAATGCAATAGTAATGGAGCCAGAGAGAGAGTATAAGCAAGAGGGAGCCTGACTGAAGCACAGTGATAAGTGTCCTTGCTGATGAAAGGGAGTCCCAAGGCTGGATTCAGTTTCCAAAGCTGTTTATGCATTTTAGCCAATAACTCTTTAATGCAAGTTGCATAAAAGCAGTCTCTGGGCCAGGGACTAGAACCCAGGTTTTCTCCCTCCCAGCAAAGTACCTTCACCAGTGGGATAGTGTCAGGCTTGCTCTTGCTTATTCTCTCATTCAGGCGCCAACTCTTGTATTCTCTACTATCCTGTGGCCCAGATTCATCTTCTGATGAATGGGTGGCGAGTGCCTCCAGCTCAGACTAGCTGGTAGGCCAGTGATTAAGGCATTCTCATGAGAGGTGGGTGTTTACCTTCCTCAGAATTAAGAGGCCCCAAAACCTAGATTTTCAACTTTCTGGACAAATCTAGTAGCCACTAGGCTGTTCTACAAAAAGTGACCCCAGCTGATGCCTCCTCTACCAGTAGCTGTGTTTGGAAAGAGAAGGGGAGTTGCTCATCCATACCCAAATAGATGATGTGGGCATCTTTAGAGCAGGAGGGGATTTGGCCCTGTGTCTCCCCATCATGCCTTTGACCTATTGTGAGGTGCTCAAGTCCAGGGGAGCAGAGGTATTTCAGACACACACCTCTGTATCATTTCTTATTGGCTGGTTTAGGTGTGTCCCTCTCTTCTGCTAGGAGTCTTGTTCCTAGCCTCATTCTACCTATTCACTATTTAGGGGAAACTAGCCATCTACCACAGGTTTCTTAATGATGTGCCCAGAGCCAGGTGCCTGAAATCTGGGTATAGTAATGCTCAGTGTCACTGTTCCTAAGTCACTTTGTGGACCTGGGTCTAAGTGAGTCAATGACCTGTTAAAATAGGCATATGGATTAATCTCAGACCATGTGAGTAGCTATGTTCTGATTTATTAGAGGTACCCAGCAAAGGGGGAAAAGGGATACTTCACTGCAACTAATGTTCTAGGCAGTCCTTATTGTAGCAGTGCAGGGTCCTAGGGGTGGCCATGATCTCCCCTAGTGCCCCCTAGCATGCAAATGTAGTACTAAAGCACCCTCACATCTTGGATGTTAACAATGTATAAGGGAGGCTGCCTTTTGTCCCTTCTGACACTGATGTGTCCCGGTCCAATTTGGGTGACTTGGTGCACCCCAGCCTTATGGGCTATGTGTGGCTCCAGCCACCCCTGTACCATGCTCCAAGCCTCACAGATGTACCGGATGTTGTTTGGTGGATTTCCCTTTCCGTGCCCCACCGGCACTCTCTGGCTTGTCTTGCAGCCTGCTCCCCCACTGCCCACTCTGGGGCTGGGGTCAGTGTGCCCCTGAATGTTGTGCCCTCTTTGGCACCAGGGTCCCCATGCTACCATGGAGCCCCTACGAGGCCTCCTCCGACCCTTAATAGCCTCACCCAGTCCTCCAGTGTAACAACAACAAAAACACTATCATGCAAGCCCCTGGGCTATAACACAAAGATAAACCTCCTGACTAAACATTCTTCAAACCACACCACATCTCTCGCCCATTTAACTAGCAGCTGGTACACTCAGGGCCAATTTCTTTCCCATAGTCAGGCAGTACTCCTCCTTCCTGGCTGCCAGCAGAAAGAGAGCAAACACTCACAGCCTCCAGCCTGGGTCTTACAGTGGTCAGCCCTGCCCCTTCCGGTCAGTTGTCTCACCAGGTGTGGGCCCTTAGCTCCTCCTGGTTGCCCCTAGCAAGCAACAAGTGAGCCCATGCTGCTGCTTTTCAGGTAGCAGGCACCTTAGTGCCCCGCTACACTTATATTTAGTTTAGACACTGAATTGCACTAGTAGAAACATTTGTCTGGCTGTAATTTTGATAAGACTCTCAAAAAACCACAATTGAGATTACGGCCCTGTTGATCTCTGCTCTGTACAGATATAGAAAGGAAAAAATATTTGTCTTGTTGAAGGGTACTGGTTAGGAACTTAGGACTGGAAGGGGCATCTGCAGACAGTTGTTAACCAAAGGAATCCCCCAACTTGTTACTTCATAACTTCCAGTACAACTACAAGAAGCAACACCCTAAATACTAAAAACACCCTAAAACAAGCCAAAGGTTAGCTTGCCGGCTGGTTTTAGAATCCTGTTATGTTAAGTTTTGATAGAAGATCTTGCATTGTAGGTTACAGGATGATCATCCACTGGATTCAGGAAAAAAAATACCTGTTCTCTCCTACTGGAATGGTATTTCAGTTTGATGGATTAATGTGGGAAAAGGGTGCTATGTTATCTTAGTTCAGTGAAAGATGTTCTATAAAACCTAAGAGATTCCTCTGAAGTATCTGGTATTAGGTATTATCAAAGACACTGATACTAGGCAATCAATGGTCTGTTCCATTGCATCCCTGCATCATAAAGGATTTACTAAAAGGTCCCTTCTCTCACTGGAGACTGGTCAGGTCTCATTGTCCTGTGAAAGGCAGCTGTCTCATCTTTGACTCCATTGCTAAATCACCCTAGTAGGCCATCTCCTCCTAGTATCTTGTTTCTTAAAGTTACTAGTGGGTGCCTCTGGGTTTTCAAAGTAGGGCAAATATGAATAGAACTGGATGGAGAACTACACAATATGCTTGTGCATATGTACCAACTGTGTGTTTATGCTTTTTTTGTGCAATAAACAAGCAACAAACATTCTCAGTGTGCAAATGTATAACACCTGGAAAACTTGTGTCACCCACAGATTGTTTATTTCTCTGCTTAGCCCTCACAGGCATGAACACAGGGCTCTGCCTGCTGCTGGGGAGGGTACTGATGGTTCTTTGCAGAACAAACAAACAGCAGCTTTATTTTTAGATCAACCCATTATCATTTTGCTGTGATCGCACAGCCCCACATGTGCTTCCTTTCAGATCAGACAGTAGTGCCAGGAGAGATCATGTACTCTCAAGGTTATATTTTTCTATAGTTTATTTTTAGTGGCTGGTGAAAGGTGCTGCGTGAGCAGCCCTGGAGCAGGAAGTCCTTTCATTTGCACATCATTTTGTTAACCATGGTTTGTTTGGGGTTTTTTTTTTCAATTTTCCCAGTCTTGATCCCCTTTCACCCCACAGTTCAGGGGGTCTGGATTGCAGGTTGTGTGGACATACTCTGGCTGGCTCAGGTACCAGAAACAGTGTTGTGGCAGTGCAGATTTCAGTGCAGGCTGCCAAGCCCACTTGGGAACTTGAATAAATGCTCAGGTGTCTGCCTGTGCTGAGGTCTATGTTGCTGTTTAGTCCCCAACCTAGCTTGGAGACACCTGCATGACCTGCAAGCACACATTTGAGTTACAGGTAGGCTTATCCTCAAGAGATGTGATTCAGGTCCCAGAGGCACAAAGAAGGCAGATCATAGTGTAAGAGAATCAGAAACGCTATTTTTAAACACTTCTGTTGCTTAGAAAAGGGTCATATTGATTTTAGGGAGAGAGAAGGGGTCAGGACTAGTAAAACTGGAGGCAGTTTCCCAGTACCAAGGCTCTATTTAGCTTCTATTTAGCAGCTCTCCAAAGCTTGAACTGGAGGGGGTTCACTAGCACGTTTGTAAACAGCAGTGTTTCTGCCTGCACTCAGCAATAGGTGGTGATTAAAACATGTTAATTGACTGAGGTTAGACTCTTGTTTCCAATGTATCTTGAGCCCCAAATGCATGACTTATACGACTAGAAGAATGTTTTCCAAAGTCTTTAGCTATTCCTTTCCATTCTTGTTAATGCTTAGGGTTGGAGGGGCGGGGGTTAATTTTAAATTCCTTGCCCTCTATTTTCTATAACTGATCTTGGGATAACATTAGCTGACTACCTTATTTTTTGCATGGGGGGAAACATAATAGAGATGTAATCAACACCTAAGGTCAGTGAGAGTGAAGAACTAAAAGGGATAATTATATTTCTGTTTTCTAGGGTTCATAATGCAAACTTCTCCATGGCTGTTGTCACAGGAAGTAATATCTTAACGGAGGTGACCAGGCAGACCATAAGTTCCCTAATGAAATGCTGCACTTGGCCCCTGTGGTGGATATCTACAGGCTTAGACAATTACACTTTTAACTAATGTGCCAGACATAGCTACAAGTGCTTTCAGTCTATATCACTAGTACAACTGTAGTTTGGCTCTTAACAGATAGGAAAGAAGCCAATGTGAAAGTTCTGAAAAAAAAAAATCCTTCTCTTCCTATTGCTGTCCCCATCTTCCCTGGCTGTTTCTATTAAACCACACTGTGGAATCCCTTAGTGATTCATGGCCTGATCTGGAGGTGCCAGAATATGATCTCACTGTCCTACCTGATGCTTTTTCAGCTCCTGTTTGTACAGTCCCTACATGCTAGGATTGAAATTAATTGCTTGTCTGCCTGTCCAAGCCTGTTTCTGACTCCCAGGACCAGTGATTGCCATGAGGTAGTCTTGCTTTTTCCCAGCTACTTTCAAGCTTGGCTTCATGATAACGTGATCAGTGTGGATGAGCCCTATCAAACAGTGGCCCAGTGGTAGTCACGTGCCTATTATGGACAACGTCCCTGATCCTACCATCTCCCTGTCTCAGATTTCAGAAAGCTGGTGCCACAGGGATGGAGTGTTGCTCTTGCCATTAACCTGTGAAGACTTAAGTACTAACGAGACTGAGATTAGACTAAAACACTCAGACAATCTTTAATACCAAACTATCCTATCTGGGAATCTAGTGGGGCCTTAAGGTGTTTTGAATAAGAACTGAAGTGCACTGGCAGGGCTGTGGAGGGGGGGGGGCACTACCAGAATAACAGGGTATGCAGTTGATCAAGACTGAAGGGCATTGTCAGAGCTGTTCTAGGAATTTGGAGGAGCAGGGGTTTGCTGAAGGTTGAGATTAAAGTCTGTTGACAGAGCTGTTCAGAGAATACTTGGCAAGTGCCTGTGCTGGATCTTGAAGCAAGCTGGTGTTCCCACTATTGCTGCTGCAATCAGCATCATATTCTCTTGTGTTCATGGTTCATCTCATAAATCTAAAAATGTAAATTTCTGCATAAAACAGCATCACTATAAATAAATCCTATGGCTAAAAGAAGATTTCAGTGGAGGCTAGCTAATGCCACCAAAGTGATTACCCTTTCACGGCAAGAGCTTGACACCTTTTAACAAAGCCCAAATATTATCAAGTCTGGAAGGGAGCAGTTACTGTATCATGCCAGTTCCCTGCTGCTAGTAAACCTATGTTCATCCAATTTCCATCATACTTACCCCTGGTGTGGTAACCATACTCCTTCCCACAGCCCATTGTTGCCTGGCATCTGCAGAAGACCTATCTATATGTATGAACATTTTAAACACTGCTTTGTATAGCCCATATTTTCCCACATACAGCACACCCTGAAATAAAATAAATGCCTTGTTTTTGAAAGGCAGAATGAAGAAAAAAAGGTGTTTCCTTGTAATACCCAAGCAGTAGCTAAGGAGTTGAGCCTGTTCAATTTTCTCCTCCCTGTGCTTCCATGGAGATTTTACTTTATTGTTTGCCAAGTAAGCAGCAGGAACTATTCTTACCATATTGCTTTCATATGGCCTTCACCAAAACTTCCCACAGCTGGTTCTTAGAAATAAAAGGTGTGTGGTGTATGAGGAAAAAATATAGTGAATAGCAACAGTTCTCTATTACTGGGGGCCAGGTTTCTGCTACAGGTAACAGAGGAATGAAATAAAGTTTAGCATCTTGCCAGTTTAATGCAAGTGCTTGCTTGCTCACTCTCTATGTATGCATTAACATGTGCAATTAATTTGAAGCAATAAACTCTGGAGCAGTTTGAGCCAGAATAAACTATTTCTGGGTGCAGCATCTACACATAAGCCCAGGACAGCAGTGATTTGAGGCAGGGTGGCGGAGTTTACACTAGAGCCAGGGACATGGAGGTTCAGCCCAGGGCTCTGGGTGGTGGCATCAGGCCGCAGGGGGGATCTCTGGGGCACGAGGGTGCTGAAAGTGAAGAGCCATGTGACTAGGCAGCAGGCAGGAGTCTGGCCCCCTGCTGGCTTGTCTGACCAGGTGCAATTTACACCTATGGTCAGCATCTACATGTGTTTAATCACAGTTAATTACCCCACTGTAAGATAGTACTGTCCCCAACCCACAACAGTACTATCTTACAGTGGTGTTAATTAGTTTACTGTAGCCTAATAGCATCATGCATGTAGACAATGTTTTACTCTGCAGCTAATTAGTCTACTCCACAGTTAAGCTTATGTGTAGACACAGCCTATATGGAGTATTTATTTGTCCTGTCCCAAAGGGAAACTGGATCACAGTTTTCTGTTGAAAAATGTCAAACAGCATAGTTTGCATCAGCCAAGGGAGAAAACATACATCTATGTTGCAAAACACTTCTTGTCATAAGCATAATCCTCCCATTTAAAGCTGGCAATTTAGTTTCGCAGCTTCTCTGGGCTTCTTGGTCTGGTCCTCAGAGCCTCTCATTCCTGTTTCCAGCCTAAGTAGGGAAGGAAGAGAGTTATCTCTCAGCTGGCCTTCTCCCAGCCTCATCTTTCTATCGTCTCTCTTGTAAGCCCCTCATTCATCCCTTGCCTGTTTTCATACATGACATATTACATACATGTAATACCCATGTTGCCCCTCCACAAACACATAAAGGTGCTTTTTTCAGCAAGGCCAACAAAACAAACATGGTAGAATTGAGTCCGCCATTCTGGAGATTTGTTGAACAAAACAAAAGTTGGGAATGCTGGTAGAAAACAAACAGAAAGGGTTTTTTGTGGTGGGGGTGGAGGCATGGGTCAGAGCCTCCATTATCCTCTTAGCTATGTCAATTTTGACCATTTGAGAATTGGGTTTCACAGCTTTAGAATTCCTTTCTTGATTTCCCCCCCCCTTCCCCCCCACCCACAAGCTTTCAAGAAAAACTCTCTCCTGTGATGAGATGTGGCATGTAATGTGTTTAGGGATTTTAATAGAAATATTTGGTCAGGGTGGGAGGATGAATTTTAGGGTTATAGTAAGAAGCTACCTTTAACTCTGGGTTGCAAACATTCCACAAAGACCAGGTACGACCAATTGAACTGAAAAAATGTTCAACACATGAAGCAGAACTAGGCAGTGGCATTTTTCAGTGATTCTCTGAAAGAATGAGAAAAACCCAGATACAGGGAGACTGTTTTGAAAAGCAGCTGCCTAACATGTCAGCCCGTTCCTCATGTTCCCGTAGACATGTTGTGAGGTGATCCATTAGGACTTCCTAATAAATACCTAATTTGCACGTGTGGATAGAAGATCTGCACAGGCAGCTGTGTTTCTGGTATACATCACAACAATTTCCCACTGGCCTATACAAAGCTACTGTGTAGGTATAACTGCACTTCTTTCCATCAGCCCCTTCCAAGCCCTTTAATTAATAGCAATAGGTGAACTGCAAAAGTGCCAGCACTGAGATATTAAATCTTGAAATCTAGATGCTTACCCTAGCCTCTTGGGACTGCTACACAGATGGGATAGAAATCTTATCGGCATTGGCTTTGGTGAGATGACTGGGACTTGCTCACTGGTTGGATACAACACTTGAACTTCTTATCTCATGGTATATTCTGGCATTTTTCCTTCCAGTCCCATCCAGAACCAGGACGTGCAGATGCAACACAGCAGAAACAGATGTGTGCTCTTTGCACAAAAGTTATGCAAACATTTCTGAACTGCAGATAGGTTCAAGGCTTAGGGCTCAACTTGAGTTCTGAGGATAGATGTGGGCATCTGTATTTCCAGATCTGAACCTGTTCTGTGACCAAGGGTCTTCGACCCTGGGGTGTTTGTTTGGCCCATGACAGAGAAATAAAAGTCTCTTGAAGTTTAGCTCTGGCTCCAAATTTCAGCTCAGTTCAAAATTCAAATCCAAGCACTAGTTTTATCCATATCTCCATTCCAATCTGTGTGTTTGGGTCCAAAGATAATGAGCTGCAAAATTCAGCTCTTTTCCAAAGTTCAGATTTAGTCTGGGCTGAGGTTTTGGTAAGATCCACCTCTTGTTTTGAGCAAAGGTTCAGCCTGCTTCCTATTTATTCTGAACTGGGTCCCTTAATCCCTGTTTCTAATGTGACCTGGCACAGGATTCAGCATTGTGGTAGATATTTTCATATGTTAATTTTCCAGCAGCTGTTCCATATTTTGAGCATAAAATCACCATTTTCCCTTCAGCCCTGCTGTTGCTTTTGGATGGGTGTATGTGGAGGTGCAATACAGTTCTAGCACAGAGTAGGAAAAGGCAGTAAGTTTTTTTTTTATGCACCACAAAAAAAGATGTAAGGAGTTATAACAGGGCAGGATGCACAGAAAGCATTCTTTTTGGGACAGTCAATTCCTACAGTCACCATTTGTAACTCAAAGGCAGAAAAGTTTTACCCCACACTTCTAATGTGAGGAGGAATGGAAAAATAAACAGCTGCTGCTGTCCCAGGTTGAATCAGGAGCTTTTAATTCTTCCATTAATACTCAGTGTTAAAAAAAAAAAAAAGAGCACCTGAGTTTATTGGATCTGTCCAGCAGGGCCAGACAAAACTCAGTGTCCTGTCCCAACATCCATTGAATCCTGATTCTTTGGACATTAGGAATGGATCCTTTGGTGATGATTGTAATTGTGGTTGTTCCAAAACCCTGGTGAGAAGCATGGACACTGCAATTGGGGAAGTTTTAAGGGAGGCATATGTTACTGCCGTGTAACAAGAATCTTATTTCAAGGTAGTACTGAGCAGGATTTACTTGGCTGAAGACGGCTTTGTGTGTGTTCTCTACCACTCCCTCCAGAAGTCAGTAGACTCACTGGGTAGGGTAAGCCAAATAATTTCTTGTGGGATTAATTTCAAGGATGTTTTTCTCAGAATTTAAAAATGTAAAGGAAGTGGAAATGTGAACCCTTGACTGTTTTGCATGTGTATCCATGCTCAGACCTCCACAGGCCCCAGGGAAAGACCTGGCAGCTGATCCAAAGCCTGCTGAAGTCAGTGGGAGTCTGCCCATGTTTAAAAATCAGAACCAAAACCAAAAACTCTACCAGGAATTCTGATTTTTCACAATTCACATGATTAGACTTACTCTGTGAAGAGAGAGAGAGTAGAGTGAGCAGTCCTCGGGCTTATTTTCTCATTGTCTTTTCTCTTTACATTATTATTTTGCACTAGGAATATGTTATCGGTAGATTCCCAGGACTTTTTAGTTTTTAGGCTCAAGAGAAGAGCAAATCTCTCTGCCCCAGAATACAGGCTATTGCTGTTTCCAAAATCCATTTGTATATTTTCAATGGATTATATAGTAACCATGTTAGATGCTGTGTGTCAGTGCTCAGAGCAGTGAAATTCCTCCCCCTCCCAAAATAGGACAGAGTTCCAAACCAATGCCTGTGGAACAATGAAGTGATACCCCTACCATCTTTTCTACTAAATAATCACTCTAAGGACATGCTTGCAAGAGGAGTTTACCTGCTATCTGTGGTAATTCAGGCAAAGACAGTGCCTTTGTAACGTAGCAGGATAGAGGCACAGAATAAAGACCCATGAAGTTTGAATTCACAAAGGTGATATATGACACCTGACAGTAAGGCTCAGTAGGTCAAGTGTATGCTCCTGCCTGAAGCTGTGTTCCCTCTAAATTGTTTGGTCCTGCACCTACATCCTAGTATCTTGATGCACTTTGTGAGGGGCAAAATTTAAAGTTGGGTGCCTAAAGTTAGATATCTGATCCCTATGAGGTCTTCACGTAAATGCAGGTACTGGACAGTTCCCCTTGATTTCAGAAGTAGCTGTGAGGGTTTGGCACGTCTCAGAAAATCAAGCTGTAATTTTAAATGTTTAAATATGGGTAACCAGACATGGAGGTGTTTAACTATGCAGTCTGCATTCTAATACCACATCCCTAAAGCCCCACAAGCCAGACAGGGTGAGGCAGGGGATGCAGAAAGAAACTTTAATCTAGAAGCTTCCTAATTTTGGATGGTGGAAATCAGAACATAATTTTAAATGTAGGATTTTCTTTAAAGTTTTTATATAATGGGTGGGAGGGGAGGGCATGAAAGAGCATGCCTCCTCCCCTTTGCCCTGAAACAGTGTTCTTGTTATGCTGAAGGCAAGCTTAGGTAAATACTGGGGCTCAGTAATTATACTTTAGCTCTCTGTCAAGGATCATTTTATTCAGGGTGTATAGTAATAAAACTGCCTTTTACTTATCCTTGGTTTCAATCCAGGATCTTTCAAGTTGAATCTCTATTTTGCCCCAGGATGCCTTATTAGCAGGTTCCCTATCAGACTAATCTGCTCCCTTCTATGCTTCCCAGAGAGCTCTGGCCCTCAAGTGACAAGAATAGGCAAGTCTGATCACTGCTTTCTTTGTTCTACAGGTGATAATGAACAACGTGTTTCTCCTGCTCACGCTAGTGATGATGTCACCTTCTGCCTCTTTTGTAAGTAAAATGACCGTATCTCAAAAGTTGTGGTCACTGAGAATGCCATGAGACATGCTATAGCATTTTGGCAGACAATACTTTTTGTAGAAAACTTGAGGTGGAGTCTACATAAAACTTGTGATGTGATGATATTCTACTATATTATATATAGAGCTGGAGCTTACACTCAGCTGACATGCATATGATATGTTGTCCATGCCTCTACAGAGGTGATGGGCCCCATGGACAGATCTAGGATTTTGTAAAGTGGGGTGCAGATGTTGTGGTGCAGCATCACATATCATACAACACATATTTTAACAAGTTAAAAAGAAACAAAAGCTTTACTAATAAGGCAGTGGCCTAAGGCTATATCATTCATTTTAAGATAGAAGCAAGAACAAATACAACTTCATTGGAATGTACATTAATGTGTTAGATCATACATTATGTATTAAAAACCACAACAAAATAGGCCAATAATCAAAAGATGTTGTTTCTTTAGTTTTATAGTTATTGGAATTCAATGTACATCTTTTTTCAGTTTCATAAAGAAAAATCTAGCTTTTTGAGTATCTTGAGAGGGCATCCAATACTTCAGTGAAAGTTATTCCCATGCTTGCGTTAAGATTCACCTGAGTTAATTGTTCCACATCTGGGTTAATGTTTTTTGCTAGAGTTGAAACCAGTCTGCAGGGCTGTGAAATGAGAGTTACATTACTAGGAGCAGCTAGCGGGCAGCACAATTGAAAAAGAAAGGAAAGCTTGATTAGTGGAACATCAAAACATTATAAAGGAAAGGGTTATTAACACCGTGGAATGAAAGGTTTAGAAGGAATCAAGCAGTGGTTCCCAACCTTGGGTCATGACCCAAATGAGGGTCACAGGGGCAATGCTGCACACACAAGACAATCTGCGCCATATGCCAGGAGCTCCCCTGTCCCCAGGCCGCCACCACTGCCGCACTGCACTCCCAGCAGTGGGTCACGGGGAAAAAAAAGGTTGGGAACTACTGAGGTAGAGTATAATGAGCCATGAAATCAATTCACTCCCTGACTGCTGTCTGGATAAAAATGCTGCTACCATTGCCCGGCATTTTTTTCAAACTTTGAGTGGAGCAGAAATCAAAGAAAAGTGCAACTGCACCACTGCATCCTGCCTGGATTCATGTCCCCATACACACTGTGGTATACACACTGACAATTTAAGAGGGATCAGAAGTTCCATGAGACTAAGCAATCATGAGAGATGTTCAGTAAGTCTCAGTGTTATCATCAGCAGAGCAAGAACTCTCAATTTTTTGCTCCACAGTGACTGACCACAGTGGGAGATCATCATGGTTTAATGTTCTAATGTCCAGTAGAGGACAATGGTGCACATGCATACTAGCCAGTGCTTTAGCAAATGCATAACTAGCTGGAGGTATACAATCTCTCTTCCTGCTGCTCTTAACCCAGGTATTCTTGGAAGAGACACAAAAGGCTCTTACCAAAAAAAGGAACATACCACATTATTGCATGCAACTGTGATATGGGTCAATTGCAGATCAACCCTTCAGACAGATTCTTTCTAATATTAGAGACTGTATCCTGCAGGCAGTGACTTCTTTCAAGAGTATGTACAATGGATGGGAATGACAGTTCTTTACTCGGGGGGGGGGGGGGGG